GCCACGGTCATCGTTGCGCAGGGCGCGCTTGCACGCATCTGGCTGAAAGCAACCACAGAACGGGCTTGGGGGTTGAGTTTTCTGTTCTGGACGGCTCTGGCCGGCAGTGTGCTGATCAAGGGCCCGGTCGGCTTGATGGTTGTCGGTCTGACCGTGCTGGGACTGATGGTCCTGAAGAGGAGTTTTTCCTGGTTCAGGGCAGCGTCACCTTTGATCGGTTTCGTTTGGTTTCTTCTGCTTGTTTCGCCATGGTTCGTGGCAATCTGGATTGCGACCGACGGCACCTTCTTCACAGAAGCTATCGGACGAGACCTGCTCGGCAAAGTTGGGCAGGGCCAGGAAGGGCACGGTGCACCGCCCCTGACACATTTGGGGGCGATGTTTGGCGTCTTCTGGCCGCTTCCCGCGTTTTTCCTGATTGCTCTGCCGTTGATCTGGAAGGAACGGGCGAGTCCGCTTGTAACATTTGCAATCGCCTGGTTTGTTCCAAGCTGGATCGTATTCGAACTCGTCGCGACAAAGTTGCCGCATTACACGATGCCGCTTTTGCCGGCGCTTGCGCTGCCTGTGGCGGCCGCTCTGCTTGAGGGAGCCGGTGAACACTCCAGAAAATGGGTTCGTATCATCGCGGCCGTGCTGTTGGCGCTCCCACCGGTCGGATTGGCGGCAATCGCTTTCGCGGGACCTATCGTGCTCGGGATTTGGCCGTCGCCACCCGGTGCGGTGATTGTCGCACTTGGAGCCGTCTTCGGCATTGCCGCCGCCTCCAGGTTGTTTCGCGGTCCGGCACTTTATGCCTTTCCAGCAGTAACCCTGAGTGCCATCTGTGTTGCTGTCGGAATCTGGGGTTTCGTTGGTCCTGCACTGACACCGGTCTGGGTAAGCCCGAGACTGGTCGCGGCACTGGATGAAATTCCCGGATGTAGGGATGCGTCTTCGCGCCAGGTCGTCACCGCAGGCTTCCATGAGCCGAGTTTCATCTTTCTGGAGGGAACAGGCACACGCATCATATCACCCACAGGGGCTGCTGAATTTCTGGCAAAGGCAGGGGCGGGTGGTCAGGCAACTTGCCGGGTTGCTGCCATAGAAAGCCGGGAAGAAGCAGCGTTTTTGGCGGAAGCCAAGGAGATTGATCTTGTGCCGAAGGTCAGAATAAGGGTAGACGGCCTCAACATTAACGGCGGCGATGAGGTCGACATCGCGCTTTACCAGAATGCGACCGCGACAAAAGGTGCAGAAGACGGCAATGACGAGCAGCAGTAACAGCGTCCGGAAAGTGCTGGCGCGAATGCGCGGGAACATCCGCCGCGCGGGAATGCTGTTTTCAGGCCGCAAGGCACGAGCACTTAACAGCCTTGATCCGTTGCCACCTGGCCAACGACCACAGGACATACTCGCAATCCTGTTATTGACTGTGGGGGTTGCGGTGGTCGTGTTCGATGTACCGACCTATCCCTGGCTCCGGTCCCTCCCGGGCGAATACCGGAACGGCTTCAGAGCCTTTACAGATTTTGGCAAGGCAGACTGGATACTGATTTCGACAGGACTGACCTGTCTGTTTCTTCTGGCCCTGGATGCAGGACGCTATGCCTTCCGCATTCGCATGGCGATAGGATCGGTTTTCACTTACGCTGCATTCATATTCTATTCGGTCGCTGCGACAGGTCTGCTTGCAATTGCTTTCAAGTGGTCCCTGGGCCGGGCCCGGCCGAAGCTTTATGAACATGTCGGCCCGGTTCGTTTCGACTTTCTTGCCTTTGATGGAACCTACACAAGCTTTCCATCCGGCCACTCCACCACGGTGGCTGCGCTCGCAACCGCACTCGCGTTTATCTTTCCCGCCTACCGTTGGCTGATTATCGTTGCAGCCTTCTGGCTCGCCTTCAGCCGCGTTATGGTTGGAGCCCATTATCCGAGCGATGTTATCGCTGGCACGCTTCTGGGCATGACTTTCACATTCTTCACGGTAAGAGCGATGGCGCGTCGGCGGATAGGCTTTCACCTGTCGTCTTCCGGAAAGATTGAACCCAATATGAATTCACGTTCTGCGAAGGCGTGTGTACGCGCGGTCTGGCAGACCCTTCGTGGCCAGCGTGGTATCGACAGGGTGCCGGTTGAAAGTCCGGACGCAGAGCGGACAGAACGGACAATTTCATGACACAGAGCTATCTTGAAGGCTTGGCGGCCAACAAGGGCACACTTGCCGTGACGGTTGTTGTGCCGGCAAAGGATGAGGCACAGAACCTTCCCATTCTCCTGGACGAGATCGAAGCCGCCTTGGCAGGACGCAAGTTCGAAGTCATCGTTATTGACGACGGATCTTCGGACGGAACGGACATCGTGTTGCAGGACTATGCCGCAACCCATGACTGGCTGAGGCCTGTGCGTCACGAATTGTCTTGTGGCCAGAGTTGTGCTGTGCGCACTGGCGTGCAGCATGCGCGCGGCGATATCGTTGCGACAATTGACGGTGACGGCGAGAATGATCCGGCCTATATCCCCCAGCTTCTGGACGCGCTTCAGGCTGCGGGAGCCTCAACCGCTCTTGCGGCCGGCCAGAGGCTTGGCCGCAAGGCAAGTCTAGCCAAACGTTATGCATCAAGGTTCGCCAACAGGCTTCGCGGTGCGATCCTGAAGGACAAGACCAGAGACAGCGGCTGCGGTCTGAAAGCGCTGCGCCGCGAAGTGTTTCTGCAACTGCCTTACTTTGACAGCTGGCATCGTTTCCTGCCCGCGCTCGTGATCCGTGAAGGATTCGATGTCGTTCATATCGACGTTCAGGACCGGCAACGGCGCCATGGCACTTCAAAATACGGAATATTCGACCGGGCACTGGTCGGCGTGCTTGATCTGTTTGGGGTGTGGTGGTTGCGGCGGCGCCGTAAGAAAATTCCGACTGTCCGGCCGCTGACGTGACGGACAGCTGAAACAAGAAGAACGACGGGTCTTGTGCCCGATTGAACCGATTGGATCTGCCCAATGACTGCTCTTTACGACTGGCTGTATACTGTTTTTGTCGAGCAATTCGATTTTTGGATAATTCTGGGTTTTTTCGCTCAGGCCATGTTCATGATGCGCTTCGTCATTCAATGGGTCGCCTCTGAACGCGTCGGTCGATCAATTGTGCCGGTTGCCTTCTGGTTCTTTTCCATCGCAGGCGGGTCGCTGTTGCTGATCTACGCCATTCAGCGCCAGGATCCCGTGTTTATCGCAGGGCAGGGGCTTGGCCTTGTTATTTATTTTCGGAACCTGTGGCTGATCTTCAAGGAAAAGCGGCAGGACCCGACGATCTGACCCTGCCTGTTCTCGACCTCCACAAATTAGCCGAATGCCCTGGCTAGGGCCTGCTCGATGTCGTTGACCAGATCTTCCGGATCTTCGAGTCCGATGTGAAGGCGAATCGAACAACGTGTTTCGTCATAGGACGTTGCGGTCCGCATGCCCTTGAGCCTTGCCGGGATAGCCAGGCTCTCGAAGCCGCCCCAAGAATATCCCAGGCCGAACAGGGTGAGGGCGTTGAGGAACACGCCGGCCTGTTCCTTTGTGGTTCCGGCCTTGAAATCAAATCCGCACAAACCTGAACTGCCGGTGAAGTCGCGTTGCCAGATTGCAAAGCCGGGATCTGATTCAAGCGCGGGATAACTTACCGCCTCGATTTGAGGCTGGTCTTTCAGCCAATCGAGAACAGCAAGCGTATTCCTCTGATGCCGCTCCAGCCTGACCGAGAGTGTACGCAATCCCCGGAGGCCGAGATAGACGTCGTCCGGTGCAACGTGGCTGCCGATCGCACCGTGAATGTCATAGAGGCCTTTCCACGCTCTTTCGCTCGCAGCTACGGTACCGAGCATCGCGTCGGAATGACCGACAATGTACTTGGTACCTGCCTGAATCGAAAGATCGACACCGAGGGCAAGCGGTTGGCAGAACAGGGGAGTGGCCCATGTATTGTCCATGAGAACGGTCGCGTCGATTTCATGCGCCGCAACTGCAATTGCCGGAACATCCTGCATTTCGAACGTAAGGGATCCCGGGGCCTCGGTGAAGACCGCGGATGTTTCTTCCCTGAACAGGGTCTTGATGTCTGCGCCGAGCTTCGGGTCGTAGTATTCGGCGGTTACTCCGAATTTCGGCAGGACTGTATCCGCGAAATGCCGCGTCGGCTGGTAAGCCGTGTCCGTAATCAGGATGTGGTCACCGGATTTCACGCAGGAGAGGAGCGCGAGAGCGACTGCGTTCAGGCCGGAATTGGCAAGTTTGACGCCGGCTGCCCCTTCCAGTTCCTGCAGGGCATCTTCAAGTGAATCCGTCGTCGGATTGCCGCGGCGGGCATAGGAATATTTCTGACCTCCGGGAACCATTGTCTCCACATCTGGATAAAGAACGGTCGACGCGTGAACAACCGGCGGATTGACAAACCCGTGAAACGAATTGGGGTCACGACCGGCATGCGCCAGCCTTGTGTCGGGTTTCAACGGGGACTTGCTGGCAGAATGGGACATGGAAGCTCTGTTTAAGGGGGTCGATATCGGGAGTTTGGGTTTCGCCCGGATGGGAAAGGCTATTTTAGACAATTCGCAGGGCTCTCAACAAGGGTGGTTGAGGGCGCTTCGCGCTTCAATTCAACGTGTAACTTACGATTAAGGTTAATGGGGTGCCGGAAATTCGAAGATCCGGTGAACATGTTTAAGGCATTGAATGAATTCGAACTGGGCATGTTCGCTATTTGTGCACTCGGCGGATGCAGATCGAGTGTTTCCCTGCGATTTTTGTCGAGATAATGACAGCAAGTACTTGACCCGAACAGCCAAATGCAATCGTATGGGCTCGTTGGGTGGAAAGGTAGAAATCTGGAGGAAGCCGTCAAAAAGGCACACGCTCGTTTACGAACGGGACGTTGAGGATTTCTTACAACGAAGCCCAGCATAAAAATAAAATGGGTAACAAATAAAGGCTGCATATCCATGTCCAAAAAAATCCTTCCACTCGTACTCGGCGCTGCAATGGGCGTCGCCGCGACCACGGCTGCGAGTGCGACAACCTTGGAAGATGTCAAGGCAAAAGGTTTCATCCAGTGTGGGGTGAGTCAGGGTCTGCCGGGCTTCTCCAATCCAGATGCACAGGGGAACTGGACCGGTCTCGACGTTGATCTCTGCCGCGCAATGGCTGCTGCAGTGTTCGGTGATGCGTCGGCTGTAAAATTCACGCCGCTGTCTGCAAAAGAGCGTTTCACCGCACTGCAGTCAGGCGAAGTCGATGTCCTGTCCCGCAACACCACGTGGACCATGTCCCGTGACACTCAGCTGGGTCTGAACTTTGCCGGCGTCAACTACTACGACGGCCAGGGTTTCATGGTTCGCAAGGATCTCGGCGTCACCTCGGCGCTCGAGCTGTCCGGCGCTTCGGTCTGCACCAACACCGGTACAACCACCGAGCTGAACGTTGCTGACTATTTCCGTGCCAACAATATGCCGTATGAAATCGTCGCCTTCGAAAAGGCAGACGAAGTTGTTGCTGCATATGATGCCGGTCGTTGCGACGTGTACACAACGGATGCTTCCGGTCTGTACGCACAGCGTCTGAAGCTGACCAACCCGGGCGACCACATGGTTCTGTCGGAAATCATTTCCAAAGAGCCGCTTGGTCCGGTTGTGCGTCAGGGTGATGACGAATGGTTCAATATCGCCAAATGGACCCTCAACGCGATGATCAACGCTGAAGAACTTGGCGTCTCGTCGGCCAATGTTGACGACATGAAGTCTTCCGACAACCCGTCCGTAAAGCGCTTGCTTGGTGTTGAGGGCGCTTATGGTGAAGGCATCGGCCTGTCCAACGACTGGGCTTACAACGTCGTCAAGAACGTCGGTAACTACGAAGAATCCTTCAATGCCAATGTCGGTCCGGACACTCCGCTCGGCATCTCGCGCGGCGTGAATGCGCTGTGGAGCGATGGTGGATTCCTTTACGCTCCGCCGGTTCGCTAATCCTCGTCTGTTCTGAGGAAAACAGGGGTTCCGGCAGTAACCTGCCGGAACCCTCAAAATAACAAGGCCACGCACACAAATCCGGAAAACCGGTAAAAGCGTGGGGGGAACAAACTGCTTCGATAGTCGATAGGGGAGTGCGCGACAGCGTGCTGCTGAAGCAGTCAAGACGCGAAAGAGGAGAGGCAGATTGCCGGGCTCTTTCCGTAGAAATTTGGCGAGGTTCTATGTCTGTAATGGAGCAGGACTCGGCGGGGGCGCCGGCGCGTGCTTCGCTGTTGAACGATCCCAAAGTCCGCGGCATATTTTTTCAGGTTGTCCTGATCGCCGTGCTTGTCTTTGTGGGATACAACATCGTATCAAACACGGCCGCCAACCTTGAGCGGCAAAACATCGCCTCTGGTTGGGGCTTTCTCGAAAACACAGCTGGATTCGGTATCATCCAGTCGCTGGTATCCTACTCGGAAACGTCGAGCTACGGGCAAGCGCTGTATGTTGGATTCCTGAACACTCTTCTTGTCGCGATTGTCGGTATCTTTGTCGCGACAATTATCGGATTTGTTGTTGGTATTGCCCGTCTTTCCGACAACTGGGTTATCAGCCGGCTGGCATATTGCTACGTTGAACTGATCCGCAACGTTCCGCTGCTTCTTCAGATTTTCTTCTGGTATTTCGCGGTTCTCAGGGCTGTTCCCGGGAAACGTGAAAAATGGTCGTTCTTTTTCGACAGCTTTCATCTGAACATCGCAGGGTTCCGCGGACCAAAACCGATCTGGGAGGATGGAGCGTCCTTCATCGGTATCGCCTTAATCATTGCGATCGTCGCATGTATTGTGATTGCCCAATGGGCACGCAAACGGCAGGAAGCGACCGGTCAACAGTTTCCTGTCTTCTGGACGGCCGTGGGGCTGATAATCGGTTTGCCGCTGATCACGTATTTCGTGACGGGTATGCCCATGCATCTGGAACATCCGGTGTTTGTCGACACGGGACCTCGGATCCGTCAGGGGTTTCAGTTGAATGTCGGCTTCAACCTCATACCTGAATTCCTCGCATTGACGGCTGCTTTGTCAATCTACACCGCATCGTTCATTGCGGAGATTGTCCGCGCGGGCATTCAGGCGGTCAGCCACGGGCAGACGGAAGCCGCGCATGCCCTTGGCCTGCGTCAAAGCCCTACGCTCAGGTTGGTGATCATCCCTCAGGCGATGCGTGTCATCATTCCGCCGCTGACAAGTCAGTATCTGAACCTGACGAAAAATTCGTCCCTGGCTGTTGCGATCGCATTTCCTGATCTTGTTTCTGTTGGCGGTACGGTCCTCAATCAGACCGGGCAGGCAATCGAAATCATCGGAATCTGGATGGCGATCTATCTGACACTCAGTCTGGTCACGTCGGCCTTTATGAACTGGTACAACCAGCGCATGGCGCTCGTGGAAAGATAGGGGGCGCTAACAATGGCCAAAACTGAAACATTTCAGATTAGAACCGAGGAGGCGCCGCTTCTGCCGGCGCCTGTCTCGACCACCGGTCTGATCGGCTGGATGAGGCAGAACCTGTTTTCATCCATCAGCAATACCGTTCTGACCGTCATTGGCGTGATTATCGCCTACTGGATTATCGCACCCTTTATCCAGTTTGCTTTCATCGACGCGATCTGGACAGGTGATGACAGAAAGGCATGCCTTCCCCCTGAAGGGTCGGAAGGGGAACACATGGGCGCCTGCTGGGCCTATGTTGAGGCCTATTTCCCGCAATTCATCTATGGTCGGTATCCGACCGACGAGATCTGGCGGGTGAATATCGTCTATGCACTCTTTGCCTTGTTGCTGGTTCCGCTGGCAATGCCGAGTATGCCGCTCAAGAAGTTGAATTCCATTCTCTTTCTTGGCGTGTTCCCTATTGTTGCCTTCGTTCTTCTGACTGGCGGCAACATCAGCATCAGCTCCTACACGTGGATCTTCGTCGCGTTGATCGCTGCTGTTGGTGTTGCACTCGCGGCAATCCTGATGGTTGCCGGAGGGCGGGATTTCAATGGCGTCAAACCTGTTCTGATCGGATTTGTCGGAACGGCTGTGGTACTTGCGATCATATTGGGTTTCGTGTCGGCCAACCTCGGACTATCAACAGTTGATACGCCTGTCTGGGGTGGTCTTCTGGTGACACTGGTGATTGCCGTCACCGGCATCGTGGCTTCTCTGCCGCTCGGTATCGCCCTGGCGCTTGGTCGACGGTCCACCATGCCGATCGTTCGGCTGGTTTCCGTCATTTTCATCGAGTTCTGGCGCGGTGTTCCGCTGATCACCGTGCTGTTCATGTCCTCGGTGATGTTGCCGCTTTTCCTGCCGGAAGGCGTTACGTTCGACAAGTTGCTCCGTGTTCTGATCGGCGTCACCTTGTTCTCCGCCGCCTACATGGCGGAAGTCGTGCGCGGTGGGCTGCAGGCAATTCCAAAGGGGCAATATGAAGGGGCCATGGCTCTGGGTCTCCGCTTCTGGCCGATGATGTATCTCATCATTCTTCCTCAGGCGCTGAAACTGGTGATCCCTGGTATCGTCAACACCTTCATCGGCCTGTTCAAGGATACGACACTGGTCTTGATTGTCGGCATGTTCGACCTGCTTGGCCAGATACAATCGTCCTTCACGGATCCGACGTGGTCGACACCCACGCAGGGACACACGGGCTATCTCTTTGCAGCCATTGTGTTCTTTGTTTTCTGCTTCGGCATGTCCCGCTATTCCATTTTCATGGAGAGGCGGCTGCACACAGGGCATAAACGCTAGAAAGATCTTCGGGGCGCGCGAAACTCCGCTGCGCCCCGGCCACTGAAATTCTGGAGTAAAAACGCATGTCAGAAAATGCTGTAAACGCGGAAGAGCTTGCCGCCGATCGCTCGAAGATGATGATTTCCGACACGGATGTGGCGATTGAAATCAACAACATGAACAAATGGTACGGTGACTTTCACGTACTTCGCGATATCAACCTGAAGGTCATGCGCGGCGAGCGTATCGTTATTTGCGGACCATCCGGATCCGGCAAATCCACCATGATCCGGTGCATCAATCGTCTTGAGGAGCATCAGGCCGGCCAGATCGTCGTGGATGGGATCGAACTGACCAACGATCTCAAGAAAATCGATGAAATTCGCCGTGAAGTCGGTATGTGCTTTCAACACTTCAACCTGTTTCCGCACCTGACCATTTTGGAGAACTGCACGCTGGCTCCGATCTGGGTTCGCAAGATGCCGAAGAAGGAAGCCGAAGAGGTCGCGATGCACTATCTTGAGCGCGTCAAGATCCCGGAGCAGGCACTGAAATACCCCGGTCAGCTGTCCGGTGGCCAGCAGCAGCGTGTCGCAATTGCACGTTCGCTCTGCATGAGCCCGAAAATCATGTTGTTCGATGAGCCGACTTCCGCTCTTGACCCGGAAATGATCAAGGAAGTCTTGGACGTGATGGTCGGTCTCGCCGAAGAAGGCATGACCATGCTCTGCGTCACCCACGAAATGGGCTTTGCGCGCAAAGTCGCGAACCGCGTGATCTTCATGGATGCGGGCCAGATCGTGGAACAGAACGAACCGGAAGACTTCTTCGTCAACCCTCAGCACGAACGTACCAAACTGTTCCTCAGCCAGATCCTGCATCACTGATCTGGAGAGGGTATGCGACTTGGCAAGGATATTCAGAAACGCGTTCCTCTGTTTGCTCCTTGTCGTTATTGCAGTGACTGTTGCAATTGGCCTTGGAACACTTGTTCCAAGGCCTTTGTCTTTTTCGCCGTCGGCGGACGAACAAGGAGAGGCCGGCAAACGCAGCATTCTTGTCCTTTCCAATCCGATCCATACCGACATAGCGCTCCCGGCGGATCCTGACGTTCTTGAAGCCTTGTCTTTTGTGTCGTCGCAGGGACTGGAGCTCAACCACCCGGGTGTCTTCTGGATAATTGTCGGCTGGGGGAGCAGGTCATTCTATATTGAGACACCCACATGGTCCGAACTGAAACCGGGGCCGGTGATTGATGCTTTGACCTGGGACAGGTCCGTCATGCACGTTCGCCGTGCCGGGCAAATTTCACCATCGTTGCCGAGTGTTCGCGAGGTTGAACTGAGCGAAACGGAATTCGGCGGACTGTTGCGCGACATTCGGTCGAGTTTTCAGACAGACAAAGGCGAGCAACCGAGTGCGATTTCAGGCGCGGCCTACGATGCGCACGATATCTTTTTTCCTGCCAATGGTGGTTTCAATGCACTGTTGGGGTGCAACACCTGGACCGCACGCATGCTACGTCAGGCGGGAATTAGAACCGGGTTCTGGACACCTTTGCCCTTCACTCTGAACCTGTCCCTGGATCTGCATAATGCCGACTAGACCAAGTTCTCGAAAATGCGATTTTGCATGGTCGCTCATGCGAACGCCCGGTTGGTAGCCAACTCATTCCTGGGCAATTTCAAGCTCAACGAATTCACAATGAAAATGAAACTGCAAATACAGGCCGCATGAGGCCAAAAATCAACCGGAGAACTCCGCGCTGAAGCGGATGAGGACCGGGTTTTAAGGTCACAGACATGACAGTAGTTTGTGAGCAGTCGATGATCTATCGAATATTCAAAGCGGTTCGCGAAACAGTTGCTCCGGATACTCGCATCTATAACCTGAAAAGAGAACTTGCTTCATCTTGCATCGTCACAGCTACAGCCAAGATAATATGGCTACAAACACGGAAAGGCGAACATGTTGAGTGACAGTTTAGTCCTTTTGACTGGTTGCTCATGCGGGGGAAAGTCAACACTGATAAGTACTTTGGGCAAACTAGGGTTCGCAACCGTTCCAGAGCCTGGACGCCGCATAGTCTCAGAAGAAATCGCTGGTGACGGCAAGGCCTTGCCATGGGTTGATACAAGGGCATTCGCGCAGCGCGCCATCGAAATGGCGCAGTCCGACTTAAAATCAGCTGATCCCTCAGAAGGCCTTGTTTTCTTTGACAGGGGGCTCATTGACGCTGCTGTTGCCTTGGAATGTGCGGGCGGCCAGGCGGCGAGGGAAATACTCGGCGGAAAGAGGCCTTACGCGAAAAAAGTCTTCGTTGTTCCGCCTTGGAGAGAACTCTTTGCGAGAGATGAAGAGCGCAGGCATGATTTCAGCATGGCGGTTCAAGAATATCATCGTATCAATCGCGCTTTGGATGATCTGGGGTATACAAAAAGAGAGTTGCCGCGGGTACCGGTTCCCGAACGGGTAGATATGATTTTGCACGAGTGTGGTGCGCTCTAGTTTTTTGCTCTGCTTCGTCTGAATATTTACCGAGTGGTTTTATCGCAGTAAAAATTGCGCTTGGGAGTATGGTGAAAAGCGGTGAATAGCCGAACTGACGCCTCAAAACTGTCGTTCGTCTCATCTTTGGCGGAAGTCTTCATTGGGCCAGCCGTAGACATTGGCTCCTCCGAACTGTCACGGGCTGGCCAAACTGGTTACCTGTATCCAAGTGCCACGTTCACAGCATCCGGATAGACCAACCGGTTACCCCGGACATACGCGGCAAGTGACTTTGACACATCATTGACAAGGTCCTGTTTGGCATCATCGTCAAGCGCCATGAAGGCGCCTGCGATTGGCATTGAACCAAGATGAAGGGGGACAAATTCTTCTGCCAGCGGCACATCAATCATCAGTTCCTGCCTGTGGACTGAGACCCTGGAAAATCCGGCGCTGGTCAATTGTGCGATAAACTCGTCGGTGGAGGGAGTTTCTCTTTGAGAGCGCTGCTTTTCGGCAATTTCGGGAGAAACGTATCTCTCAACAGCACGGCATATCGCGTGAGTGTACGGGCTGTGACCATCCCAGATCGAAACAGCCATCCTTCCACCTGAGGAGAGCAACCGACGAAATTCGCTGAGCGCTGCCGGCTTGTCTGGAAAATAGTGATACCCGTGTTGCGACAGGATCACATCGTAGCTGGCGGAGGGCAATCCAATGTCGCTGACGTCGCTCTCGATCCACCCGATGTCGAGCCCATCTGCGATTTCTTTTGCTTTGGCGAGCATGGCAGCATTTATGTCGAGGCCATCGACCCGCCCCATTGGTCCGACCTTGGACTTCGCCAACCTTGTCGTGACACCGGTTCCGCAGGCAACATCTAGGACGTTCTCGGATGCTTGCAGCGAAAGCTTGTCAACAAGAGCTTCTGCCCATCTTCCGAACCACAGTGGTACCATGACCTTTTCATAAATTTCCGGGCCGCTGCCCACCAATTGAAATGTCATTTCAATTTCCTTGCTGCTTGGTGAGACGAGCAATGTTCGAGGCAGGGCCCACTGGGCATGATCTGATCAACTGAAAGCCTAGTTACTGTCGATCCTGAACGTCAAGCTGGTTCACAATTTGCCTTGCCCAATGTGTCAAAACGACGGGCAAGGTAACCTAGGGACCGGGAACATTCCGATCTGTTCATCAATCGGTTCAAACATTGCTGGTGGATTGCTGCCTTATGCGACCAGCTGGCAGCAACACTACTCCTCGCATTGACCAAGTCGGCTGCGCCAAGATCATGGCCGGGTATTCACGCGTTCATGCCCGGGTCAGTTTCCGTTCGAAAAGGGAATGATCTTGTCGACGGCACTTTCTGCAAGTCTCTTCAAAACATCGGGTGTTTCACCAGCGCGCGCGCGTATCGACAGCCCGTGCAAGATCAATGCAAGATGCTGAGCGGCAGTGCAGATTTCTTGCTCCGTCATCGAGCCTTTGGTTTCGTGACGAATCAGACTAGCAAACCCCTTGTCCATGCGCGCGATGACGACGGTCAGGGCCTCTTTAAACTCAGAATCCCGGGGCGACTCGGTCTGAAGGGTTGATATTGCCAGGCACCCGTAGGGGGCATCCGTGAGATCGGTCTGACCTGTATAAAGATCTATCGCGGCGATCAGAATAGCCTTGAGTCGAGGATTGGCACCCGCGGTCTGCTGGCCAGCTTCGGCCAAATAAACGTGCATGCGATCTGCAAATCGACTGATGACGTTCAGATACATGTCTTTCTTGCTGCCAAAGGCAGCATAAAGGCTCGGCCGGTTCAATCCGGTGGCCTCGGCGATCTGATCGAGGCTCGTTGCCGCGTAGCCATTCCTCCAGAATACCTGCATGACCTGATCGAGGGTTACGTCCTCGTCAAATTTGCGTGGCCGCCCGCGTTTCGTTTCCGTTTTCATTTTTTACCAATTCGCATAAAAAGATCGACATGTCTATTTTTGTGCAATACGGTACAAAAAAATGGAGGCGGGAATGGAAGCGTTTTGCGAGAGACCTGAAAAGGACGCGTACATGGGTACCGTTCAGTGGGGAAAACGCACCGGACGTTTCAGCGGGGGACGGCTGACGCGTCCGGAGAAAGTCAAGGTACTGGTCAATCTTGCTCGAATGGCCGCATTCGAAATCAAGGATGTAACCATGGCACAACTGGGACTCATAAACGCATATGGGACCGATCTGGAAGGGTTGCAGCCACCCGACACCGCTCTTGTTCGTGACGCATTCGATTTCGCGGACGACGTCCAGAATGTTGAGTTGATGCGCCATAGTTGGCGAACCTACTACTGGGCCATGCTGATCGGTGGACATCGAAACCTTGCTGTCGACCGGGAGGTGCTGTTTGCAGCGGCCATTCTTCACGACGTGGGATTGGCCAAGGGCAGAAGCTCGGAACCCAGGGAGTGCTGCTTTGTCGTTTATGGCGCAGAACGCTGTAAACATCACCTCGTAAGCAAAGGGCATGACAGGGCAAAGATCGGCAAGATTTCAGATGCAATTGGCCTGCATCTGAACGGTTATGTCTCAAGCCGTGTGCACGGTGCAGAAGCACATCTGCTTTCCCGGGGGGCAATGTGTGATGTGTTTGGCATGGGGCGGCGCAGAATTGAAAAGTCCATCCGGCGCCAGATCCTCCGGGAGCACCCGGTAGGGGACCTGCGCTCGGAACTGGAGATTTGGCCTGGACACCACCTTGAAGGAACAAGGGGAGATTTCCTCATTCGTCTCGGCAACAGAAGCAAGCAGGCATCGAACAATGCGAGCGTTCCCCAGGCCGGTGAATGAATTTCGTCTCCGGAATTAGCCGGTTTGCCCTTGAGGCAACTCAGGATGGGTCGGAAACGATTTCGGTATCTTCTCTTCCGCCCCAGTCGGTCCAGGAGCCATCGTAAAGCGCAAGATCCCGTGCTCCCAGGACCGTCAGGCCAAGTGTCAGGATCGCGGCGGTCACACCGGATCCACATGTCGTTGTGACGGGCTTTTCCAGGTCCACCCCGGCTTCCTGATATATCTGCTTCAACTCGTCCTTGGTGCGAAACGTGCCGCTTTCATTGATCAACCGCGTGAAGGGCAGGTTGAGCGCACTCGGCATGTGCCCGGATCTGAGCCCGGCACGCGGCTCGGGAGCCACGCCCGAAAAGCGGTCTACGGATCTTGCGTCGAGAATTTGCCTGGAAGAGGCCCGGATGGTGTTTCGAATTTCAGCAAGGTCGGCAACCGCGCCATGATTGAGCCTTGAGGTGAAATGGCTTTGAGGTTTTCGCGGAACATCGTCCGTTACCGGCCTGTTTTCTGCTCGCCACTTCGGAAAGCCGCCATCAAGCACGAATACGCGCTCGGCCCCCATGGTACGCAAGGTCCACCAGACACGTGGCGCGGAATAGAAACCAAAATCATCATAGACGACGATCGTTTGCCCGTCCCCGATACCGAGTTTGCGCATCGCTGATGAAAACACATGAGGTTGCGGCAACATGTGTGGCAGGTCTGAGGTCTTGTCGCAGATTTCATTCACATCGAAAAATACGGCGCCTGGAACATGCGCGTTTGGGTAGACAGGTGGTGCGTCCGGATGGGTCACGGGGGGCATCCAGGCGTTGATGACCGCAAGATCGGGAGACTCCAGATGGTCGGCCAGCCATTGAGTTGAAACAAGAGGATGGTCGGACATTACAGCTCCTTAAGTTTCGTATAGTCCTTTTGATTTGTGCCACTCTTCAATGGACAAATCAGGATATTTCCCAAAATGGATGTCGTTGGGTCCTTCCGGAACCCCGATCCAGTCCGGCTTGTATTCAAGCATGATATGGACGGTTTCCGGCGGCCTTGGCAAGGGGGTGTCGATGACGCCGGCATGCGGGTGCAGGAGCCCGGGCCAGCGGGGATCCCAAACCCACAAATGTGTGCCGCAAACCTTGCAGAAATGTCGTTCGGCAGGGCTCCGAGTGCCGTCTATCAATGCGCTGTAGACGAGTTTGGATTGCTCTCCGCTGGTCTTGAGACTTGCCGCATCTCCCATGAGATTGATCGCAAAACCTGCGCTGCCACCAATCTTTCGGCATATCGAACAGTAGCAGCGCATGTAAGGGTAGGGGGTCTTGCTCTCCAAACGGAATTCAACCGCCTTGCAATGGCAACTTCCTGTCAGCTGCATATTCGTGTCTCCTGAAGACTGCTCAATCGTTCAGGCGTATGCGGACCCGCCTGTTTTGCTTGCCTTTTTTCTCGGTCTTGCCGAGGGCAAGGTCACCAATTTCCGAAGTACTGGAAACATGCGTGCCACCGCAAGGCTGCAGGTCGACATCCGCTCCGATCCTGACAAGTCTTACCCGTCCGGATCCCCTGGGCGGTTTGACCGACATGGTCTTGACCAGACCCGGGTTGGCGTCGAGTTCCCCATCCGTAATCCACTCGGTGGTGACGTCGTGATCTCCGGCCGCCAATTCGGTCAGTGTTCTCAGCAAGATTTCCTTGTCGATTGTTTCGTCGCCCATATCGAAATCGAGTCGGCCTTCGGAATCGCCGATCTGTCCGCCTGTTACAGGATAGGGCAGCGCAACAGACAGAAGATGAAGTGCGGTATGAACACGCATCAAACGATATCTGCGAGCCCAGTCGACATGTGCGGTAACACGGGTGCCTGGTTCCGGAAGCGGTTGATTTTCTGCAGGTACGTGAACGATCGTGGTCTTGTTGTTATCGAACACGGTCGTGAAAATCTCTGTCCGGCTGCCATCGGAATATTCCAGGTGGCCCCTGTCGCCCGGTTGCCCGCCTCCTGTTGCGTAGAAGACAGTGCGGTCAAGCACGATACCGCCGCGTTCATTCACACCCACGACTTCCGCTTCGCACGTACGCAGGTAGGCATCGTCACGAAACAATGGTGTGGTCATAGAAGTCTCCTGCAGAATGGAAGATGGTTGGAAGGATAACTGGGCCCCAAAACGCGACCTCTGGATTTTACATCATTTCAGGCAGCAATAATCCATCACGATGGTTGCGGCGGCAAGATTGCCCATGTGAAGCGCAGTCGGTGTGTTCTGATGACCCGGATAGACGAGATCGCCCGCAGCATAGAGACCGCGAACAGATGTGCGAAAGCCTGCATCGACGTCGACATAGCCTGCATCGGTCATGGAAATGTCGAGTGATGTAACAAGACCGGTCTGCTGCTGGAAGGGGAAAATCAACAGGCAATCCAGGTCAATTGTCTCTCCGCCTGGCATTTCGATGTGGGTCAATGCACCGTTTTCGGCTCGCAAATTGATCGGCAACTCATGGTATATGGCTGTACTCAACCGCGAAACCTGTTCACTTCGCTCCGGAGTCACAAATATGTCCGGACCGATAAAATAATGCAGGTCATCGCTCCAGTTCCGGTAGACCTCGGCAGCATCGATGACGTCTTGGCGATGCGCGTAAATTCCCCATCGTTTGTTGTGCCACTCGATTCCGTGACAGAAAGGGCAGTTGATAACACTGCGGCCCCAGCATTCTTCAATGCCGCCAAGTTCCGGGAGCAGGTCAACCATTCCAGTCGAAAGCAGAACGAATTCGGCCGTCAACAACGAACCATCATCCCTTGAAAGCGTAAAGCCATCGGCCTCGCGTCGGATGCCGGTGATACCCGTTTGCTCAAAATGCGCGTAGGGATACGAGACAATGTCGCGATGAATGGTGTCTCGGACATCAGCAGGCGTATTCCTGTCGAACCCGGGAAGCGCTGCAATGAAGGGAGACGACGCGTTTCTCGGAGGAGTATTTTTGTCAAAGACAGTCGATTTGATCATCGACCGGGAAAGCGTCAATGCGGCAGCAAGCCCCGCTGGCCCGGCACCGACAATTGCAACCTGAGTGTCCATCCAAATTCCCCCTTTGGTATTCAGTTGTTCGCCTGTGCCATCAGCAACTTGATCGCAAAACTGCCCAAAATTCCGGCAAACGCCCAGTCAAACGCACGCATGAACGAAGGGGAGGATTTCAGGAACTTCGTGAACGCACTTGCGCCCAGAACCATCAAGACACAAACAGGCAGGCAGAGTGCTACGAAGTATGTTCCCAGAAACAACAGTTTGCCGGTGGCGTTCGGATCAGATGCACTTACGAACTGGGGAAGAAACGTCACGAAGAAGACGACAATCTTGGGGTTGAGAATGTTGACGCCCAGTCCTTGAAGCCACAATCGACTGAAGGATTGTTGCGGAACGCTGACAGGGTCCACAGTCAGAGACGATCCGTTCCTTATGGCCTGGAAGGCGAGCCAGATGAGATAGGCGGCCCCCACGATTTTCAGGACCGTAAAGGCAAGGTCGGATGCTGCCAGAAGTGCAGACACACCGACAGCCGCGAGCACGGTGTGGACAATCAGGCCGCATGTTGCCCCCAGCACGGATGCAAGTCCAGATTTTCTGCCCTGTGTCAGCGCTTTGCTCAAGAACAGCGTCATGTCGGGACCTGGCGTGATCGTCAGGATCAGGCCCGCGGCAGTGAAGGTGAGGAGGATGGAGACATCCGGTAAATATGACATTGTTCCACGAGATCGATCTGTTCGCCCTACAATCTTTCTTAGACGCCGGGCGCTTCAGTCTGTCAACGTCGTTTACCGAAAGTGGCACGGTTTGCCGGATGACCTCCTGAATGGGTTGGAACATGCGGAGGAACATGCCTCGTTTGCTGCAGTGGTGGTGCAGCGTGCTGCCGCGTTTTACCCAGATATTTCACCAGCGCCCAGAGAGCGAGGCCTGGAAAAAGGAGAATTGTCAGGATCCTGTTCCAAAGATAGTCCTGCCCCACATCGGAGGTCAGGACACCAGATTTGGTTCCTCTCAACAAAACAAGTGTTTCGGGAGGGCCGAACGACATGAAGAAGTATGACTGATCCAGATCCTTTTGATTGTCGGTATAGTCAAAACTGCAGCTTTGAAACAGATAGAGTTTCGAACGGCACTTCCGATCGGAGGTTGGGACGTTGGCGGGGGAAAGTGTCTCGGACTTCAACTTGATGTCTTTGAGAATTGCACCGTCCATAAAGAACAGTCCAGGTCCCAGCATCAACACAAACAGAAAGCTCAAAATCAGTTTCATGAAAACCTCATTCGGAAAATGACCGGGAGGACCATGAAAAGATCGCGTTAAAATAGATTTAAACGAAAAGTGTAACTTATAGGCGTAGTGTCAATTTCGTTTTCACGAAGCCCTTAAAGGATCGGTGACAGCAGGCGCGCACCCTGGGCAAAGACGCGAAAAGCGTAGCTTCTTGAGCGGAAAGCGTCGGGCCAGGTCAGTTTCGAACTTTGGAAATCGGTCTCGAGCATCGTTTCAACGTTCCCGATCATACGTTCGTGCGTAAACCACAGCGTGAGTTCGAAATTGATCTGAAATGATCTGTTGTCGAAATTCACTGTCCCGATCGATACAAGATCATTGTCCATCAGCGTAACTTTCTGATGCAGAAATCCATCCGTGTAGCGGTAGACCTTTACCCCTCGCTGTACGAGCGTGTCCTCATAGGCGTGGCTCGCCAGCCAGACGGTCCAGTGGTCCCGTTTTTCCGGGAGCAAGATACGCACATCGACACCGCGCATCGCGGCCGCCGCCAGTGCTGTCTGTACGTCCAGAGACGGCACGAGGTAGGGTGTCGTGATCCAAAGGCGTTCCTTGGCTCTGGCGGCTGCCTCAACAAAGGCCAGGGCACATTCTTCCAGTTTGTCTGCTGGCCCGGTCGGCATGACCAGAACGGCCTCGTCTCCCGGCATGGGAATATCCCGGACCTGCGGCAGCTCGATCCGCTCGCCGCTTGCCCAAAGCCAGTCCTCGACAAAGGAAAGCGCACACGCAACGGCTGCCGGGCCCTCCACCTTGACGTGAGTGTCGCGCCAGTGACCGAACCATTTGTTGCGTCCCACATATTGATCGGCAACATTGTGTCCGCCGACGAAGGCTTCACGGAAATCGGTTACGACCAGTTTCCGATGGTTCCTGTAATTCAGACGCATCGGCCCAAAGAGACGCAGAAACTTGTGATTCTCGTTGAAGCCGCACACTTCGACGCCTGCATTCTTGAGCTTGGAGAGAAAGTCTCTTGAAAGGGCGTGGCTTCCCACGTCGTCGTAAAGAAGATAGACCTTCAGTCCGTCTTGCGCCCTTGCGATCAGTGCATCGGCCATTTCGCGCCCGAGGCCATCGTCTTCAATCGCGAAAAACTGGAAAAATATGACTTGTTCGGCGCGTGCAATCGCATCCTTGATCGCAGTGAACGTCGCATCGCCATCAATCAGAAGATCAGCAGTATTGCCGGCCAGAAACGGCACGCCGGCAACTCTTGTGAGGACCGGCCAGTCGCGTGTTTCTTCGTGATCGGTCAACCCGAGTTCGTCAGCGCGTCTCGCCCGTTCTGCCCGGCCGAGCAGTGTTTGTATCCGGGCATAGTCGGCAAATGACTTCCAGCCGAACACGAAATAAAGCGGAACGGTGAGATAAGGCAGGAAGAACAGCGACAGCAACCAGGCAACCGAACCCTGCGAGGTCCGGGAATTCATGATTTCCCGAACGGCACAGACGCCCGCGACGATATACATGGCGGCAACAAACGCAGCAACAAGGCCGAGATTGTTGGCCATGACATCCAGGATGCTGACATCGACGACCGCATCCTGGATCACCGCTTTGGCGTCGGCTCCATCTTTGGCGAGGGTCGGGTCAGCTTGCCCCATGTGTTCTCATACCGCGCAATCTTCTATTCAGGCAAAAGGCGCCTGAATGGTAGTCTTTCGCTCCAGCCACTCCGGCACCGGCAAGTTCTTAGACCGCAGGAAGTCCGGGTTGTAAAGCTTGGATTGATAACGGGTGCCGTGGTCGCACAAAATGGTGACGATGGTTTTTCCAGGGCCAAGTTCAGCTGCCAGCTTTCGTGCTCCGGCTAGATTGATCGCCGTGGAACCACCGAGCAACAGGCCTTCCTTTTCGGCCAGGTCAAAGACCAGTGGCACGGCGTCGGCGTCATCGATCGTGTAAGCATGATCCACCTTGACGTCCTGAACAATCGGTGTTTTGCGTCCAAGTCCGATGCCTTCGGATATCGAGCCACCTTGAGAAGCCACCGCTTCGCCCGTCGTGAACAGCGACTGCATTGCAGCGCCGCGAGGATCGGCACAACCAATGACAACACCGGGTTTGTTTTCCTGAAGGTAATTGGAAACACCCGCAAGCGTTCCACCCGAACCGACCGCGCAAATGAACGCATCCACACGCCCACCTGTCTGTGCCAGTATTTCCGGACCGGTGGTGAGATAGTGTGCCTTGCGATTGTCGAGATTGTTCCATTGGTCCGCAAAGATAACGCCGTTGGGTTCGGTCTTTGCCATTTCCTGGGCCAGACGCCGCGCCACGTGCTGATAGTTGTTCGGATCCTTGAAAGGCTTGGCTGGAACCTCGACAAGCTCCGCACCGCACAGGCGCAGCATGTCCTTCTTTTCCTGGCTCTGTGTATCCGGCATCACGATCACGGTCCGATAGCCTCTGGCGCTGGCAACCAGGGCAAGACCAATTCCGGTGTTTCCGGCGGTACCTTCCACGATGACGCCGCCCGGTTTAAGTTCGCCCCGCGCTTCTGCCTCCAGAATCATCTGTCTGGCAGGCCTGTCCTTGACCGACTGACCCGGGTTCATGAATTCAGCCTTGCCCAGGATTTCACAACCGGTTTCTTCGGAAAGGGCTTTCAGGCGGATCAGCGGCGTATTGCCAATCGCATCGACAACGGAAGCGGACACAGTCATTCTTTCAATCCTGGCTGATCTGGACAGAAAACAAGGCATGGCCAGATAAGATTCAATGGGCTCCGGACGCTAAAGGGAGCTGCATCCGGGATCAAGATTGCAATTTAAGGGCTCGTCGGAGGAATGCCAGCGACAGCTACGTTTTTCTGATGATTTTTCCGCAAAACGATTGAAAGTGAGCATGGAGTTGTTCTTCAAACCCCCTAGATGAAAATTCAAATTTCAATATTTTTAGTGTAAATGATGATCTAGAAAACCTTGCACGGCGTATCGGCGTTAGTGCAAAGATGGTGTTTGGAGCTTGATGAGAGCGAAAATGGAAAAAAATGTGACCGGGATGGATGAGCTGCTGGCCGGGTATGCGGCCGGAACGCTGTCTTATCCTGCACAGGCGCTGGTTGGAGCGCACCTCGAACTCAGCGACCTGAACCGTGGTTATGTCTCGTCTCTGGAAAGCCTCGGCGGCGTAAGCCTGGGCGATGCTGATCCCGTAGCCTTGAGTGACAGGGACACGTCGCTTTCTGCCATTTTCGACGATGAGACGCCATTCTCGAACGACAACGAGCCGATCGCGAATGACAGTACCGGTCTGCCACAATCCCTGAGATCAATTGTCGGAAACTCCATGGAAGGCCTTCCCTGGAAAGCGCTTTTACCCGGTGTGAAGGAATGCAAGTTCGGCGAGATTGACGGCTGTGCAACCAGTCTGCTCTGGGTGCGCGCAGGTCGTGCCATGCCGTCCCACACCCATCACGGGACGGAGCTGACGCTCGTTCTGCAGGGCGGTTTTCGCGACGATGACGGTCACTATGTTGCCGGAGACGTCGCATTTGCGGATGATGATGTCGACCACAAGCCAATCGCCGATGAAGGCGAAGACTGCATCTGTTTTGCAGTCACCGCTGGACGTCTTGAGCTGACTGGTCCTGTCGGCAGGTGGTTTGCTCCATTTATGCGGTAAGAACAAATCCGCACTCCATGTCTTTTGCGTAGACACTGCAAAGGCCAAGGAGATCGTTATTGCCTCAGAGAAAATTTATTGCGCATCCGTCGCACGGAGTTGCATGGGTTACCGGAGCAAGCTCCGGTATCGGTCATGCGCTTGCGCTCGATCTAGCCAATGAAGGATGGCGGGTTGTTGTAACCGCACGTTCAGAAAAGGCACTGCAGGAGCTCAGCTGCAAGGCTCAGGAAATGCCGGGAGAGATAATCGCGCTTCCAGGTGATGTTCGAAACACGCAGCTGATGAAGGACCACTGTAACGCTATCGAACAGGAACTTGGCGGCGTAGCTCTGCTTGTTGCAAATGCCGGGATCTATCTGCCACAGGACGGTCTAAATGCAGATGTAGAAGCATTTCGGACGAGCTTCGACGTGAACCTGATGGGTACCGTCAATGTCGTCCTTCCGGCAATCGACGCAATGAAGGAGAGGGGACGTGGGCAGATTGCCATAGTCTCTTCAGTGGCCGGATATAGGGGGCTGCCGACATCTGCGGCCTATGGCGCATCCAAGGCTGCGCTAATCAATTTTGCAGAATCGCTGAAGTTCGATCTCGACCTGGCCGGTATTCGCATCCAGCTGATCAATCCGGGATTTGTCGATACGCCGGCAACGCGATCCAATCCGTTCCCGATGCCGCATCTCATCACAACCGGCGAGGCTGCCAGGGAAATCCTGGACGGAATGAAACACCCCACACGGTTCGAAATCGCGTTTCCCAAAGCTTTCGTCAGACAACTGAAGGCGTTGGGGCTGTTGCCGTATCGCGCCTATTTTTCACTGGTTGCAAGAACAACCGGCTGGAACAAGAAACACCGGGCCGGATAAGAGTCGGCCCGGATGTTCCTCTGCAACAGGAACGTCCTCAGGGAGCTTTGACGTACACCATCTGTCTGACGTCAATGTTCCCGGCGCGAAATCCGGCTTCGCAATAGTGGAGGTAGAACTCCCAAAGTCGCTTGAACCGTTCGTCGAAACCAAGAGGGCGTATCTGTGGCCAGGATTGGCAGAAACGTTGCCGCCACTCCGCGAGCGTACGGGCATAGTCCTGGCCGAAAATCTTCTGTTCTGCCAGGTCCAGTCCAAGAGATTTGCCGATTTCGACGAGTTTTCCCGGTGGCGGCAGCATGCCACCTGGAAATATGTAGCGCTGAATGAAATCCGTGCCGCGCCTGTAGTCTTCAAACATCTTGTCCTGGATCGTTATGATCTGAAGTCCTGCCTTTCCACCGGGTTTCAGACATCTGGACAACTGGTCAAAATAGGTCGTCCAGTATTTTTCACCAACTGCCTCGAACATCTCGATTGAGGCAATCCGGTCGAAAACTCCGCGTTCATCGCGATAGTCCTGAAACACGACGTCCACTTTTTCATTGAGGCCGGCTTTGAAGATACGTTCACTTGCATATTCGAATTGCTCTTGCGATATCGTCAGCGCGCGAACATGCGCCCCGACCGTTTTTGCTACATGTTCTGCAAAACCGCCCCAGCCGCACCCGATCTCCAGGACCGAGTGTTCCGGTTCGATTCCGGTTTGCCTTACCAGGGACGCATACTTCTCCGTTTGTGCCTGCTCCAGGTTGTTGGTCTCGTTGCTGTAAATCGCCGATGAATAGGTCATCGACGGATCGAGCCATTCCTTGTAGAACGCGTTTCCAAGGTCATAATGCGCCGAAATGTTTCGCTTGGACCCGCGCCGGGTATTGGAATTCAGCCAATGTCGGGCAGAAAGGAGAAGGCGGGTCAATGGCTTTCCCTGAATCGCTTCCAGCGTCGATTCCTGATTGATGCAGAACACTTCAAGAAACGTTGTCACGTCGGGCGAGGACCAGTATCCGGCCATGAACGCTTCCCCGACGCCGACATCCCCCGCCTTGACCACCATGCGGAAAAAGCGCCAGTCGTGAATGTGAAGAACGCCGTTCGGTCCATCCTCACGTCCGTGAATGCGGAATGTCCGGCCGTCGGGAAATCCGATCTCGAGCGTTCCATACCGAATTTTGAGCGCAAGTCCGGCTGCCATGCGGGCGAGGCGGGGAGTGCCTTTTAACTCCTTGCGCAAATTGTCTCTGTTCAGAACAACAGGCTCACTCATCGCAAAACCTCTTGAAAACTCATTTGTCAGAAGCGAGCGTCATGTCACGCTCTCCCAGTCCGGCCTGGGGTTTATCTTTTGCTGGTCGAGGATGGAATGGTACACGCTTGAGCCAGATTTTAAAGGCTTGCCAGTGGATCGCCAAGATCACCTTCGCTGTAAGAAATGGAACCCGAATGCATTCCTTTAAGATAGAGCTTGAGGACAGTGGCACAGCCTGGCCGGAAAATGTCGCGGATAGAAGCGGTCCCTGCCGGTCTTTTTCGAGTATTCGAACCCTGACGGTTTCGCCGGGGGGCAACATTCGAAAGTGATATTCCTGTTCCATGCTGATGAACGGTGAAACGTAGAATTCCTTCCGCTGGTTCTGGCGAACACCCGCTTCACTGAACTGACCCGGTTCCACGGGAAGGGCATATGTATGTAACCCGCCGAAGGTGTTGCGAACCTCATAAACGATTGCCGAGAGATGATCATTTTCATCGTACGCGTAAAAGACGCTGAGCGGATTGAAGCCGTAACCAAGGAGTCTTGGATACGCGAGCAAAAGGATCCTTGAAGGCTTTGCAACAAGTTTTTGCTGAAGCACGTTTTCCACGTGTCGTCTGAGACTCGATCCATCTCTGGGTCCGTGGTCACGCTCGTGAAATGACAGCAGATTGAAGCGATTGACCGAAAACCATCTGCTCAAGCGTCGCGCCGCATCGAGTTGGTCCAGATCTATCAGAAGCGTAAATACCGAATAGCTGAACCGGTGTGCTTTGGGCTTCATGCGATGATGCATGACCTTACCCGGGTAAAGCGAAGCTGCCCGGCCCGGCGCCGGTCCGTTATCGCAAACAGTATTTGAGGGCTTCGCCGTCATTCGGCAGCTTCCCTAAACTCTGTCGGTGCACTGGAGGTTTTCCACGGCAGTTTGGCACCCAGTTGTCTGGCGACAGCCAGCCCCGATGCGAGACCGTCTTCGTGGAAACCATGGCCATTCCAGGCGCCGCAGAACCAGGTGTTGTTGACCCCCTGAATTTCATCCAGCCGCCTTTTCGCGCTCAGTGCACGCGCGTCGAACTGCGGATGATCATAGACATATTTTTCAAAGGTTTTGTCTTCTTGTGGCGCCTCAAAGGGATTGAGTGTCACGAACACGGATTTGTCGCGAGCGATGTTCTGCAACCGGTTCATCCAGTAACTGACGGTTACATCGCGCGTCTTTCCCGCTTCCCGATCCGACATGTAATTCCACGACGACCAGACTTTCTTTCTTTTTGGCATCAGGTTCTCGTCCCGATGAAGATAAACCTCGTTGGGTCGGTATCTGATGGCACCCAGAATTTCGCGTTCGGCCGGACTGGCGTCACCGAGCATTGCCAGGCTCTGATCGGTGTGACTTGCAAGGATGATTTGGTCGAATTCATCGGTATGACCGGAACGATCCTTTACCTGGACCTTGCCGTCGTTGCGAAGAATTTCGGTGACGGCGCATCCCAGCCTGATTTTTCCTGCGAGCGGTGCCAGCAAACGGTTCACATAATTTCTGCTGCCACCCGAAATCGTTCGCCAAAGTGTTGTTTCAAATGACAGCAGGCGATGGTTTTCGAAGAAGGCAACGAAACTCTCCGCAGGGTAGGCGCGCATTTCATCAATCGGCGTCGACCAGATCGCAGCGCCCATTGCCAGGAGGTAATCGTTGGTGAAACCCTCCGAGTATCGGTTTTTCTCCAGGTATCCACCCAGTGTTTCTCCCGATAACCGTCCGGAATGAAGATCATGCACCGCCTGCTTGTTGAAACGGAAAATGTCTCTCAACATGATCAGAAAACGGGGCGACAACAGATTGGATCTCTGCGCGAATACGGTGTTGAGCGAATCGCCCGACCATTCGAGTTTTCCATTGTCTGCCGAAAGCGCGAAACTCATGTCGCTTATTTCGGTCTCGACATCGAGATAATTGAGAAGGGCGGTGAAATTGGGATAATTGCGTTCATTGTAGACAATGAAACCCGTATCTACCGAAATATGAGTGCCGTCATAGTCGATGTCAGCCGTAGCGCTGTGCCCGCCAGCCCTTCCCCGCTTTTCATACAATACCACATCGTGGTTTTTGCTCAGGGCCCAGGCTGCACTGTTTCCGGAAATTCCGGAGCCGATAACGGCAATCCGCATGATCGATCCTTTTTTTTATTGATCTGGATAGTCCGCAGGGACTTGCGGCCAGCAAAATTTTCTCCGTTTTCTCAAGCGAATACGGCGGAGAAAAGAAGGCGGATCACGCCGGGCGATGAAATAATTAAATAAATTCCGTAGATTGGCGAATGCAACAGCTTGTGCGTGGCATTGGGTGCCGGCAAAAAAAGGGTCCGTTCTTGGAACGGACCCGATTGAACACTAAAAATGTGTCTGGCTGAATTGAAGGGTCAGGCCTGCAATGAATCGACCAGCCAATTCCAGGCGACTTCGACACGAATTTTTGCCGCATCAAAAAAGGCTACGACCTTGTCCCAGACGGATTGGCCGAAATCCGCAACCTGAAGCATTGTTCCACGCTTGATCGGTTCGTTCTCGGTTTCAATTAACTCGACAGTGGTTGCTTCCGTACCGTCATTGACGACACGTCGCGTAACCATCAGAGCTCCTTCTGTCACCAGCCGTGATTCGTCCTTGCCGGCAACAACCGTCTCCTGGTCCATGGCTCGGACAACAACAGCCCGCCCATCCGGAAGCAAATGCGTTTCGTTGGTATTCACCTCGGAATCGTAAATCACTTCTCCATAGGAATCGATCAGCTCGACCCAGACGACATTTTTGCCGTCAAGTTCGATTTCACCGACCCATATGGTCAATTCGCTTTCCAGCGGATCTGTCTGGTCCACTGTGGCCGACGCGACTGTTACCGCAAGACGGTCCTCCGGCAACGTAATTGTTTCCTGAGGAAGTTGTTCGGCAACTGCGCCCCCTGCCAGGGCAAGGATGAGGCCAAGCGCAAATGTTCCTGCTTTGGTATTCCGTTGCATGTTCGCCTCCCAAGGCTAATACAACTGTTATTACCGCGCTTGGGGCACTTGCAGATCCGGTCTGTTTCGACTCTTTTCCGCAATGTTTATATCAGTTTAGTGTGCGTGCGCCCCACGCTGCGCGGTCACGATTTTGCCATTATCGCACCACATTCTGCTTTTTGAGTGTAATGAACATCACATTTTTCGGTGTTTTCATTTACATTTCATTAATATTTGGGGTTCGCGGCCGGTCATTCAAGGTTAATCACCGCGACGTGACCTAAATCCTCCTGTTAAAATTAACTAAGCAACACGAATGCTGATGCTTTAACTGGCAAAGAGTTCGTTTCTAAAAACGTGGATAAGCGTACCTGTAATTAAATTGTTGGGCAATCTAAAAACTTTTCGTAACGTTAATTAGGCAGCTGGCGATGCAGGGCAACAATGAGGAAATGTTGCCGGTTCGTGACGTCATTTGTGGTCTAAATCAGGCAAAAAAATTCTAGTCACTGGTGGTGAACGAGTTTTCAACGGCCGCCCGAAGCGCTTGAACAGACTTCGCGCTGGTGGACATCAAACCAGATGTCGGAACAAAACCCAGGCGCGTTTCCACTCCGTCTGAGGGGGAGGGAGGATGCTGGACAGAGCAGGAAGCATGAAGTTCGTCGACCCTGGATCTGCAGAGGATCATCGATGCATTCTCCGGAGTGATGCCGGCACCGGCCATAACCGAAAGGCGTCCTTTGGCACACCTGACGGTTTCTGCAAGAATGTCGAGACCCAGCTCGGCACGCAAGGCGTGCCCTGAAGTCAGGATTCTTTCAAAGCCCAGTTCAACGGCATCTTCAACACCAGCGGAGACATCGGTCAGGGTGTCGAAGGCGCGGTGCAGCGTGGCGGGTAGTCTGGTTCTGCCGAGCGCCGCTGACAAAAAGTCAAGATCCAGACGGTGTCCTGGACTGACAGCACCGATCACTATCCCGTCCAGGCCCGTGTCTTCCGCGATCTGGATATCACGCAGCATCAATGACTTTTCAGCCTCTGAATAGCTGAAGTTGCCGGAACGTGGCCTTATCATTGCGTAAACAGGAACCGAAAGCTCAGAGGCGGCCGCCATCAGGCCTGTAGATGGCGTCAACCCGCCTTCCGAAAGTGCGGCGCACAGTTCAATTCTGTCAGCTCCGTATTTTTCGGCAATCACGGCGCCCTCAATTGTATCGACGCAAACCTCCAGATTTACCCTGCTCATGAACGCGCGTCCCCAAGGTTCCTGCGCGCAAAAATTCCAGCGCCATGCAGACCGCCGTTTTCGGCAAACTGGCCCCTGACAACCAGGGGTGCAGAATAGTGCGCGAGCACCAGAGCGCGGGTTTTTTTGTCGATCAGTTCAAGCAGCTTCGTGTCATTCGACAATCCGCCGCTGACCGGAATGACATCGGGTCCCAGCGTATTCACAAGGACAGACAACGCACGCGAAAGGAGTGTTGTGAAGGCCTCGACGGTTTCGGTCCCTGAAGGATCATTTCGGTGCCAGGCACTGGTGATTTCCTTGCTGGAAAGTGTCTTGCCGTGCAGCGACGCATGTATGCGTTCCATGCCGCGTGCGGAGCCAGTGGCATCGACGCATCCGACCTGACCGCAGCCGCAGGCATAATGCTCAATGCCAGAAAATTTGCCACCGGCCGTTGGGTCAACAATCGGCCCATGACCCCATTCGCCGGCCATTCCGCCAAAACCGTTGACAAGATCACCGTTGATAACGAGGCCTCCGCCGACACCGGACCCGAGGATCACTCCGAAAACAACCGGCTTTCCATTTCCAACCCCGTCGACAGCCTCGGCAAGCGCAAAAGCATTTGCATCGTTGATAATGGCAACAGGCCTGTTCAAGGCGTCCGACAGTTCCCTTTGCACATATCGACCGTGAAGGCACGGAAT